GAGTGTATTGGTGAAGCGCTAAAGAGTATTATATTTGTAAGATATAGTTTCAGTGAAAATAGCTGGCAATTGCTGACAACACACAGATTTAAGAAGCATGGCCCATAATTTAAGTAGAGCAATGGACAGTTGATGGATGAGAATAGAGATGAAAAATGCATACAATATTTAGCGATTCTGGTAAAATAGTGTATGTTTCTCATGGAAAGACAGAATGAAAGCAGTTAGAGACCTTCTACATAGATAAGACACTTTTTTATGGGGACGGAAGAGAGCACAATTCAAAGTGGATGTAAAGGGGATGATATGATTTTAACATCCTGTCCTAATGTGTTTTACACACCACCTTCTATAGACTGTAAGCTTGTTTGAGCAGGGCCCTCTTCAACCCATCGTTCCTGTAGGTTTTCTTGTAATTGTCCTATTTATAGTTAAATCTCCCCTCTAATAATATTGTAAAACGCTACGGAGTCTGTTGGCGCTATATAAATGGCAATAATAATAATAATAACACAATTTCTGTTACTTAAAAGGGCTTAAACATTTCTGTCACTCATGGTGTTAATCAAAGTATTAGAAGTGACTAATATGAGTTACAATAATATAAGCAATATATAATAATACACAAGAAAGGGTTGTTTTGTCATGTGAAGAACCTATAGTGGCCAAAAATGTTTATAATGTTTCACAACCTTCAGAAACCTCCCAAAATACTACATAAATTCAATCTTCTCTGAAATTTAATTGGAATATTGAAAGAAGGAACAATCCCTCCCCTTTTGACAAAAGACACATGTGAAAGTTTGAACTAGATGGCCAGGAGTCTTTTTTAAAAGACTAAATAAACACCAAATTAACAATGTTGATCCACCGCAAAAGAGAGTTTGACCTCCAGTTACACAAGATAATTTCTGCAGAGGATGTAGTAAATAAGGAGGGTGTAGTATTAAGTCTTTCCGTAAAGAACATTCTTGGGATGTAGTTAAAACCTATATAGTATTGTATATGTGACAATTGTAAAGTGAAAGTTTAATCTTAATGTTTAGCTACCGATCTTTCTGTTTTCATGCGATTTAGTAATGTATTATCCTTGGATGCAGGATGAAGGCTAAATGGGCCTGTCAGGTTGCAGACCTATGACCAACAGTTTATGCACAGACATCCAAAGCAGATATATTAACTCATTAACCCCTTCAGGACTGAGTCAATAGTACACGTTCTGATCAAAACAAAACGTAAACAAAAACTGGAATTTGCGCTATATGTCTGTTCAACCGTAATTCACCACTGTCACATTAAGTGCACCCACACTTATTATATATAATTTTGTTCAGGAGAAACAGGGCTTTCATTTATCATTAACTATTCATATATATGTAATATAATTTATTATGAATAAAATTGTGAGAAAATAAGATTTTTTTTTAAAATTTGTATTTCCGTCTGACATTTTAGCTGTTAATGTCATAATACTGTTAGGTTTTACTGCAAAAAAATACACATATTTGTAATCAGCGATGTCTCACGAGTACAACAGTACCCCCTATTAACAGGTTTTATGGTGTTTTGGAAAGTTACAGGGTCAAATATAGAACGTTACATTTTCAAATTGAAATTTGCCAGATTAGTAATGTTACCTTTAAGACGGTGTGGTAGCCCAGGAATGAGAATTACCCCCATAATGGCATACCATTTGAAAAAGTAGACAACCCAAGGTATTGAAAGTGGGGTATGTTTAGTCTTTTTTAATAGCCACTTAGTCACAAACACTGGCCAAAGTTAGCGTTCACATTTGTTTTTGTCTGAAAAAAGCAAAAAACAAATATTTGGCCAGTGTTTGTGACTAAGTGGCTACTAAGAAAGACTGGACATACCCCACTTGCAATACCTTGGGTGGTCGACTTTTGCAAATGGTATGCCATCATGGGGGTAATTCTCATTCCTGGGCTACCATACGCTCTCGAAGGCAACATAACCAATCTGGCAAATTTCAATGTCAAAAAAATGAAATGCAAGTCTTATATGTGACTCCCTAACTTTCCAAAACACCATAAAACCTGTACATGGGGGGTACTGTTATTCTCGAGAGACTTCACTAAACACAAATATTAGTGTTTTAAAACAGTAAAACATATAACAACAATAATATAGTCCATAAAAGTGCAGTTAGTTTGTAAAAAATGCAAAAAACTTCACTTTTACTTAAAATATCATCGTTGTAATACAATTTATCATTTTGAAACACTAATATTTGAGTTCAGCGAAGTCTCCCGAGTAAAACAGTACCCCCTATGTACAGGTTTTATGGTGTCTTGGAGAGTTAAAGGGCCAAATATAGTGCTTGCGAATTAAATTCTCTGCACTTTCTCCCTGTGTTGTCAGGCATGTCAATCAAATTTTAATTAATCAAATCACATAATTATGTTAAAAGATTACTTAAATATACACGTAGAATTTTAATATATATGTATGTATAGGTATTTAAATTCTACGTGTATACTAATGTAATCTTTTATGTAATTATATGTATTTATCTATCTATATATATATGCGGTTATTTGTATTTTATATATAGATAGTTATATATATATATATAGAATGTCATTCTAAGTGTATTTTGTTACCAATATATATATATTAATAACAAAATACAGTTAGAATGAAATTACATATAAATATATAATTTATATTAAATTTTGTTTCAATATTTTATTTTATTATTTTATTTATTATTGTAATTATACGTATATATGTATATATATATAATATATGTGTATATATATACATGTTATATATATGTAACGTCATTCTAAGTGTATTTTAATACTAATATATGTACTTATATTAATATTAAAATACACTTTGTATGACGTTACATATATATAACATGTGTATATATATATATATATATATATATATATAAAAATAATTTTAATTAATTTTAAACATGTTTAATTATTATTATTTTTTTACACCTCCTACCAGCAGGGGGACAGTCTGAAATTTTAGACAGTCCCCCTGCTGGCAAATCCACAGCCAGCTATAGGGGGCCATGTGATCGCTCTTTGAAAGCGATCACATGGCCCCCGGGGGCCTCATTTGCCGGGGGAGGGCTGTCTGGGCTGTCAGGAAGCCCTCCAGAAGAGGATCGCGGCAGAGGTAAGTACACCGGACCTCCAGGGGCTGCAAGCCATTATGGCGTTCTATGCCGGCGCAACGGCTTTAAAGTCCTTTTAATGCGTAACGGCGTTAAGGAGTTAAAGGACCACTATAGTATCAGGAAAACAAACTCGTTTTCCTGGCACTATAGGGTCTTTGGGTCTCTAAAACTGCTATGTTTACAGCAGGCAGGGTTAACCCTAGATGGACCTGGCACCCAGACCACTTCATTGAGCTGAAGTGGTCTGGGTGCCTATAGTGGTCCTTTAACCCTTAGAGAAAGCCAAAACAATCACCAGGGATTGCTGGAGCTCTCATGCAGAGGGAACTTGTCAGTCTTTTGGATATGGATTTCCGTTATGGGTAGGATCAGTGTGATTTGTAAATGGTATAGGTTCTCTCTGTTATGGCACAAGTGAGCAAAAATATTTTCTAGACTTCAGGGGGGATTAGCCAAAGAGCAATATATTGAATCTTCTGAGTTTTAGCTCATTCTCTTAGTTCTCATGTTCCCTGGTTTTGCTTCAATACATATGGTACAATAAACTGATCCATAAAACTAAAGTAGAAGACATCCTAAAGCAACAGTCACAGCCACAGGTGGTGCAAACAGACTATGACTTCACTAGGAAATAAATCTAACAGATATAAAAGTATCCAGAAACAGGTTAATATAGCAGTATCCTGGACTGTAGCATCTGATATCATTCATGGGTCAGCCAATGGCTTGTCTGGAAAATCAGTAGCTCACATAAGGCAGGGTTCCAAAAAATATTTAAACACACACATAATCAGAATACTGAACTGCACTTAGTGATTATGGATCAAACTTAGATATATAAAAAGATACACAAAAGTAATTGAGAAATCTTGTATCTTAAAATGAACAAAAACAAATTATAATGCAATACAGTTTAATACAATGGATGGTAAATATAAAGTTCCAAGAGACTTGATAGTGCTATAAGAGCTAAAATTATAATAAGCATGGACAGTACAATCCCTGTCTGCCAGTGTGTACTTTAGCTGGTAAGGGTCAGTAGTCTCAGTGTCAGGTAAGTATTGGCAATATGTTGGAAGGAAGCAGAAAAAAAAAAAGAGGATCCAATAGTGCAATATGCAAACCACAAGTAAAAGGTATATAAGAGGTATCCTACTTATAAGAACTAAAGCAATGACCTGCTCTAGTATTATGAAGCTTTAAGTGGAATGATCCCCACCTGAGGATATGCAGGATGTGCAAGAAGCCAGACCAACTATAAAATCCCAGGGACTGGAATAAGTAAAAATAAAAGCACTTTATTTAAAACAAATATATAAAAGAAATAAGAGATAAAAACATAAATATAATATGATACCATTCCACATAGGAATAAAATGTCTTCACTTGACACATTATGCCAAAGTGTTCTCAAAAAGGCAGACATTGATTTCGTAAGAAGGGGTGAGACATTTTGGGGAGCCATATGAAACCTGAGGGAAGCCATGAGAAACTTGATTTGACTTCAAATCTACTCATTGACGATGCTCAATCAGAGAATGCCAGGCCTATATTTAAGCATGTTGGCCCAGTACATAGTAAGTGTGAAGATGTGGCAAACCCAAGACTTACAAAAGTTTTGGTCTATAGAGAACTGATTTGGCAATCCATCATCTACAATCCTGCCAAACAAAATCATATATCATAGTTTCTACTGAATGGACAACCAATGTGGTGGATAGGTGGAGCCTGAAATTGATAAAACGGATGAGGCAACTTAACGCTATGTACGTGGCCATATTTGTTCTATACTCTAAGTCCTGCTTCAGAGTAGCATAAACTGAATTGTAGCAGGATAGAACACTGGCGGAAAGGCAGTTCTCTTAATACCAAAGTTTGAAATAATGTAGGTCACTCGAAGGTGGCAGATATCTTAGAGGTGCTTACAACTGTCCTGTGGGATGTGAATGGAAAGAGCCACCAACCAATCAATATTAGTTATCCCACTATAGAAGAAAAGTTGCAGAGGACAGACAACAAGGTGGGCAGGGAGTTTCCTAGACGAGCAAGAGAGAGAGAGAATGAGGTTGTCCACATATGCTGAAACCCTATATTCCATACCAGCATTGAGTAGGCCCTGATGCCCTCACTCTGTCTAATGTGGGAGAGGAGGGGCTCTGTTACAAAAGACTGGAAATCACTATGTTGCTGTTTTTACTCACTGATTGATACTGTTTGCCACTGCATAAGTTAAACAGAAAACCACACGAATGGATTACACGAACCCTTATGGAGGCTCCATTCGTGGTACGAACGGGGGACCCCCCAGAAACTGGCGTGTGCCGCCACTTAACCCCGTCACCCCGCAAACTACCGAACGGGCGACCCCCCCGGCTCGCGGAGTGTGGTAGCCATTAACCACCCAGATGGCTGCGGTTTGCGGTTAACCACAATGTAATCGTTATGCCTGGGGGCATCGACGTTCGCACCCAAAGTACCGAAGGGAAAAGACCGAACGATCCACCGAACGACGACCCCCTACAGCGGGTCGCGTGGCGCTCATTAACTGTGGTTTCTGCGGTTAACCACAGGTCAAGTACCCTGCTCCCAGGTGGCCCTCATTCCCTTACCGAACGAGCCCACTACCAGGCCGACAGCGGGACTTCGCAGGAACTGATACCGAGTTTAGTTCCACGAGTTAGACACGAAGTCCCGCTGCTCGCTAAACCAGCAGAAAACATGGCCGCCAACAAAGACTAACCATCTCATAATGCCGAACGGACTTTATACGGCAGAAACAGTACATTCTGTTCGTGGGATTAGAGCGGCATTCGCCTGGTTTATCTATACGAACGCGAGCCTTAAAATGAATGGTGGAATGAATGGTTTTCCTGTAATAATGTACAAGTTATGGATTTTTATGTAGTTTTCTGGGGCATAATAAAACGTGGTCTTTTGTGCGCTTGGAGATAATTAGATTGTAAAACCGTTGGCCTCATTATCTCCAAGCTGGGCGGGTACTACTTCAAATGATACAGTATACTGTGATTGGTTACCTGTTTGTACTGTACCTGTATTCCATCAGGTCCACAGGGGGCTGTCCTTGGACCTGAGGAATCACATAAATTGCCATGCTATGTGCCAGTAAAGCCAGTTCGTTTTGACCCTCAACTTGCAGCCTCGACTCATGTTGTAGGGATCCGGGATATTGATGTTTAGATCGTGCTTGGGGATATTCTACACTTACAGCTGATTACCGAAAGACCTCCGTTCGACTCTCTGCAGCGGGAACCAGGACATCCAAGCGATCAACCCTCCTGCTAGACCGGGGGCAATCGTAACAGGCTCCAATAAAAGATCAAATAAAAAAAATGAGGGGAAAATGGCAATTCCATCAAAAATCATTAAATATAGTGAAGGGAGAGAGGGCAGAACTTGAGATTAGGATCTGGGCGCAAGAAGACTGGTACAGTGACGTAATAGCCGTAATAAAATGGTCTGGAAATGTTAGTTAATATTTTCATGTGCTTGCCCCAACCTGTTGTGGATGGATCAAAGAAGCAAGAGCATATTGAGTCAAAATGCAAGTGTACACAAAACAACGAGTCCTGTGATGGATAGATGGACGCCCATAGGAGATGTGACTAAATTACCTTCCGAGTCCCTAATAGATGCTATAGTCTCTGCATTTGCTGCTGAGCCATTGAGCAAGTGAAGTATCCATGTTATTAGAGCGTTCAAAGAAAAATAAAATTGCCTTTTCCGCAAAAAAGCTTTACAATGAAAAATATTTTAATATTGTAACATTTTCATATTTATTCATATTTATTTTTTATTTATGATATATTTTTGATATTTTATTATTTTGAATTTTGAATTATTTTTTTTAGTTTGCCCAAAAATATTAAATCCCTCTAAAAGCTTATCCAACAATATCAAATTAGGGCCTTGGTTCCTACAAGACATTACATTTTTTTCATATAGGTTCTAGTTTAGACTAGATATATTCTTACCTGCCCTGTGCACTATCCACATAGCCTTTAAAGTACAGGTGACGAGCAAATATGTACACTAATCCAAAAACAGCTGCAACCTCTGAATGAAACAGACAAGAAAAACAAAATATTATTCACTTATCTCTGATGACTATTGAATCAGCCTGTCCCTATGCACAATTTTATGGTGTTAACAAAATTCTAAATTCTATCAGTACAAAACATTTAGATTTTAAACTTCCTGATGTCAATGTGCTCAAAGGGGATAAGCTCAAGACTTATTTTACTCATCAGATTTATTATAATGTCTCGTGCATGCTTTCTGCAAAAGTGCTGGTATTCTTCAGCGGATTTCAGTATAATTTAAAGGACACACTATGCTGTAGATATAACCCTTTTTAAAGCATTCTACAGAGAATGTACATTAATTTTTATTTTATTTTTACATACCTCTGTTTCTTTAGTACCTCCATAAACAATACCATAGTGTTAAATGGGAATATGGAAAATAAAACAGCCACTTCACAGGAAGAAGTGCTTGATTGCCACTACTGTTTTTGTTTTTTTCAAACACAGTTGGAAATTCTTTCACATTATGTTTTACTTCTTATATTGGATTAACAGCCAATACAGGAAGCCAGTGGACTCATAGGGTGGAGGGGAGTTACTGACACCGTGGTGGGGAGGTGATAACAGCTGTGGGATGGTGAGGATATGAGCACAACACTTGTGTGGGAAGGCAAGGGTTAAGTTGGTACATTGTGGTGGGAAGGTGATGATAGCTGCTGGATGGTTAGAAGATGAGCATATAACTTGTGTAGGGAGGCAGTGGTTGACGTGGTACATTGGAATGAGGAGGAGGTGGTGATGCTGAGTTTTGGAGGAGCCCATAGTGGGCCTATTAGGATGGGTTGAGTTTAATTACTCAAATCTCAGATACTTTTGGATGTCCTTGCAAATATACATACACTATACAGTAAATGGCAGAACTATTTCTTTTAACAATGAAAACTCCCAAAGTGGTGACCATAGCGAAGATTGCATAATCCCCTGAAAAAATTTTAGTTTACCTTCATAAGAAAATATGCCAGCAGTCCATAGAACAACCAGGAAGATCGGATAGAATTCTACACAATTCTGTCTAGAAGAGAAAATGACACCTCTGATGAAATCATTTGAGATTATGAAAAACATGCTTGAAATCTCCGATACCTAGACATTCTTATCCAATATATATCAAAAAGGGAATGACTTGATTAAGGGCATTATGCAAAGATTAAGGGGACAAGACTAAGAGGGTATTTACATAAATGGTAGTAAGTACATGAACTAGCAATCAAGTGAAAGTAACAATCTTAAACACAATATAATAAGTTACACAGTGATACAGAAATACTGGCTGTGCTGTAAAAAAAGAAGCAAAGTCATTTATTGAGGTATCACATAAAAACAGTCAAACACTGCATATTAACACACAAAAACGCAAATATATTATGCAACTCAAACAAAGAGGATTATTCAGTGCAATCAAACACCTTCTTTGTATCCAATGAGAGGATGAGAGGAATGCAAAATAGAAGTTCTAGATCTAGAAGAAGATCTAGAAGAGGTTAAACAGAAATGGAGCAGATCATTTCTACCTAATGTGAGTGTAACCTTGAAGACATTACTGAGTTGCACATGTCAAATCTTGTTACTTACTGGGCACGGAATGTCCTCTCGAATTCTGGATGCCCTGTAACTGATGGGGGCATGATTTTATGCTTCGTTCTAGATCGCCCCACAAGCCTTGCATAATATCCTGTGAGAAAATGAAAACAGCATATTATTTAATTACAGAGACCTTCAACTACAGTTTGCACTTACAGCACTGTGACTTACCGTATATACTTGTGTATAAGTCAAGAAATTTTAGTCCTAAACTTTATTTTAAAATGCAGAGTCAACTTATACATGGGTCAGTGCTAGTTTAGACAGAATTTTGTACACTGGATACGGGGCAATGTTGACTCCCGAACGCCATTTTCCTAGCTGGTTGGGAAGCTGAATGGGCAGGGGTCCAAGTTTCAGCAGGGCTTGCGTAGCCGACTCAGAGATCCATGTACTGCTGCCTGCGTACGGGAGACGAACACGTGCGTTTGTATATATGAATGTCTGCCACCCAGGTCATGCTTGTTTGCGGTTAACAGCCAGGGATGGTCGTTGATTACGAAGTGTTAACAAGGGGGACCACACAGTCTGTTTGGTAACCGAACAGAAGGGGAACTATTCCATTCGAATTCCATTCAAAAGTCATACCCTCGACTTATCCACGAGTCATAGCATATTTCACAATTGTTGGTCAAAAAATAAACTCAACTTATACATGAGATCGACTTATAAACAAGTACATACGGTATCTGCAAAAAAAACAACACGTACTGCTGCTTCCTGCCAGCTTGTACAAAGATGTATGAGTCTAGAAATGCAAGGTTTCTTTTCTTTTACATTATTTCTTTATTTTAGCTTGAGTTGTAGACAGTGCCAGGTACAGTGATATTCAACAAAGCAAAACAGTAATGTGACAATAGTGGTAAGATTGTTGACAGCATTAGTGAAACAGAGGTCCCGATGTGCACAATGCAAGTATATAGTTATTCATGATGAAGGAAAACATGAGTAGCTTATTGTCACGGGTACGAGCCTGCTTGGGGCCTAGCCAATGGAGGCCGTTGGACATTAGGTGTGGCTGAATATTTCTAGTCTCGTCTGCGGATGTCACCAGCTTCAGATGTTTACCTGCTGTCAGCGGGGGTCATATGTCACCTTTGTGATGTCCACTCCTCAAGTATTTTACCGGTCAGGTAGATATCTGTCCGTGGAGTGTAAGAGAACAGAAGAAGGGTAAGGGTAAGAAGAGAGGGTAGAGAAGAGGAAAAGGGAGTTAGGTTCAGCACGAAACTGGGTTAGCCTGGAGGGCAGAGGCAAGATACTTGGGTCTTAGGGTTCGTGCTAGTATAGTATCCATTTTATTGGATTTTTCATAGAATGTCCGTTTGGACCATTGCGATGAGTGTGCAGTGTCTTCCAGGAGGGTATCTTTAATGGAGTGTCATAGAACTTGCAGTTCCGCGAGGGTCCGCGGGGTAGGGTTTGTCTTGTGTTGTTGTTTTACTTTACAGAGTGATTCAAGTTGTGACTTCAATAATTTGGTTTTCTGTTGTTTCCTGCGAGTCTGCGTTTTGATTATAAAACCCCTGATCACCGCCTTGTGCGCTGCTCAGATTGTGGTTGCCGCCACTCCCGGGTCATGTTGATTTGAAAGTAATTGGTTATTTCCTTGACAGCTTTGTTAGTATGGTGGGGTCCCTGAGGAGCGAGGTATTCAGCCTCCACGTCCACGGGGATGAGGCGCTTATATTGCCAAGGGTGATACTTACATCACAGTGTTCCGACCATGCGATGGACCCGATAGCGGTCTTTAGAACTTTATGCTTTCCGAGGCTGTTCGTGAGGAAGTAGTCAATCCTCAAATAGGTGTTGTGAGGGACCGAGTGGTACGTGAAGTCTGCAGTACTGGGGTGGTGTGCTCTCCACGTGTCGATGAGGCCTGTATGCCTGATGAAGTTATGGACGAGTTTGTCCTGCACGCCTATGCCATGGGAACGCATCAGTCCAGGCTTAATGCTACTGTCTGCACAAGGTTTCTTAAAGTATTCCAACGGTGACATGTTATGAACAGACAAATGTCTTAAGTAAAATACAGAATAAGGAGTGGGGCATAGTAACACAAAGGGTAAAGGGAGGGGTACGAAGTTGTTAGAAAAGTATTCATTGAGGGCTTAGTAGGTAATATTTGACAGTTGCAGGAGAGGAGTGATGGGGGATAAAAACCTGCTAACAGTTTTATTGATATGATTTCTTGAAGTAAGTTTTCAATGATTTTTTGAATGAGTGGAGACTGGGTGAAATTCTTATGGAGAAAGGAAGGGAGTTCTACAGAAGAGGTGCAGCCCTGGAGAAATCTTGGAGGCGAGCATTAGAGGTGGGCGTATGGACAGAGGATATACGTAGGTCTTTGGCAGAGCGTAGGGGCCCCGACAACACATACCTATGTATTAGGGAGGATAGGTAGGTTGGAGCAGCATTATGTAGGGATTTGTAAGCAAGCACCAGAATTTTAAATTGAGCTCTATATCTAACTGGAAGCCAATGCAGGGCCTGACCGAGCGGGGAGGCGTGGGAGGTGCGAGCGGACAGAAAAATGAGCCTTGCCGCCGCATTCATTATAGATTGCAGCGGTGCAATCTGGGAACACGTAAGACCACTGAGAAGGGTATTGCAGTAGACATGACTGGTCTGGCCCCATATGCAGCATACTGTGATGCACTGTGTATTCTGACACTTTTCTATCATGACCAGCATTATATTTTTCAGCAATTTGAGCTGCTCCTAAGCAATCACTGCCTGATCCAACGATCTTGTTTAGGAACATGCCCTTTAAATTATGAGCCTAAGGAGAAGCTCTGTGGCTATACTTTTGATTCCCTACAAAGGCACTATATGAGCCAAAATGTTTTTGTTTTAATGGCACGTGTGTGATGTGAGGTAGATTGTTTATTTGTCTACGTGGTAATGCAGGCGTGGTGTACCTTCTGGAAATGTGTCCCTCAGGCCCAGCACTGTGTGTGTCTGTTGAAGCATGCTGCCAGACTATCCCAGGTTTCCAGGCAGAGGCATAACTAGAAACCACGGGACCCCAGTGCTAAAAATTGCCCTGCCCCCCACCCCCCAAACGTGTACCCCTCCCCTCATATGTCCCCGCCCCCCCACATATACCACACATGCAGACACACACACACACAGACACATGTAGACACACATACATACAGACACACACACATATACATACACACATACACATATATACAGAGACCCATACATGTAGAAATACACACAAACACATAGACACATACATACAGAGACACACACACAGAGACACATACCTACATACACACAGAGACAAAGACACACACACATGCAAAATGTTTGTCACCCTCCTGTTTCCTACCTTTTAGGTGCAGGAGGGTGACTTTTCCTGGGGTGCAGTGGCGCAGGCTGATGGGAGTCAGAGTTCCTAGTCTGACTACCTCCTCTCCTTCCTCCTCCCGCTTGCTCCCGGTGGATGCTGGGAGTCACTTCCTCACAGCATCTGACATCATCAGAGGGGGCCCGGTCACGCTTTTAAAGTGCAGCACTGACCGGGCCCCCTGGAATACATTTCCATCGGGTGGCCCTAACAGCATGGGCCACCCGATGGGCCTGTTAATTGCGGCCCTGGCAGTTCTACCGCGTGGTCCGCTGCGACCCCTGTGACCACGGTTGTTCCACCAGTGTGTCCAGGTTAAGTTGTCTTGTACTGTATCCACAAGTCATTTTTCTAAATTTTCTGTGCGGTATATTGTAATATCATAATTTGTTGTATCAGGACTGTAGTGTAGCTCGATAACCTAAGAAGTTTCATGCATACTAAGCAATACAGAATGATATGTTTTTAATTCTTTCAGTGCCAGAGGTGTGCTACTCACATTACTTTGCAATGTGCAGGTCTTTCTTTTAGCACTCACAGGGTTAAAGTGGCTCTGACAATTTAATTTTGTACACAGGGTCACATCTTTTCAACTTTTATTTTGGCGCCGGATGATCTTCACAGCTTCCGTCATCTTCCTCACCCTGGCAGTGATGTTGTGTCCCTTGCCTTCCTCCTCCGTGCATGCCAGATATCACACATGCCCTCTGCTGTCAGCACACTGTCAGAGACTCGTAAGATGTGAGCTAAGGGACACGACAGGCAGGTAAGTATTCTGGGAAAAATATTCTTGACAAAGAAAATGGAACATGCCTACCGCTGCGCCCTTTCTCAAGTTAAATAGTCCCCACTTTAACTTGTGATTTTAAGAAAAATAAAACAGAAAAGAAGAATGGATTTAGAGACAGAGAGACAAGTATCGCCTGAGGAATGGTAAGTTTAAAGTGAAAGAACCGCTTTAGACTATAAAATAATAGGTTGTTTTTTTAAATTATATTAATATTTCATATGAGTACAAAAAAATCAGAAGGTGGGGGGAGGGTGTGGCGTCGAATTCTTAACATGTCACCATCCACCACTGCTAAATACACTGGACTCAGTCCGAAGCACTATATATTAACCATGCTTTTCGAGCTGGTAATATGACAGGCAGTGTGATGGATGCTAGGAAAATACTACCTGTCTGCCCTCCTAGTGCCAACTGTAAAGCATGGAGGATGGAAGATTATTAGTAGTCTGACGGTGATTATTAGTGTGACGGTGCATTACCTTCATGAAACAACAGTACACCATACAGCAGCTCAAAGTGTTACCAAATACCAAATCGCACACCATTGAGAGCTTTGAGGTCTTGGTTGGGAACTAATATTCTCTAGACCACGAGTGTCCAACCTTTTGGTTTCCCTGGGCCACATTGCGCGCAGAGGAATTGTCTTGGGTAACACATCAAATATATAATATAGATCAAGGGTACGCAACATTCTGCACTACAGATGTTGTGAGCTATATCTCCCTTGATGCTTTGCCAGCATTATGTCTGTAGGGAGTGCTGATGGTTGCCTACCTCTGAAATAGATAATGTAAAGTAATATATCTTTAAAATCCCTTTTCTTAATTTTGATATTTTTATTGTATAGTAGACAACTCCCTTATTTGTCATCCTTATGTGGAATTGGTATATTTAAAGGAGCTATCTATCTACTAAACACATACACTTGCATATACATGTGCAAACATAACCACAGATACACACAAAATCACAGACCTATACACACCTAATCACAGATACACACTCACAGACCTATACATACAAACACAATCACAGAAACACACATAATCACAGATATACACAATGTGTACCCTTGTTTGCAGATAGCACGGTCCTCTGGGGTAAACAGGCACAGTGCTTTTATTTTCATATAATCCAGGCACTTTATTTGTAAGTCCACACAGGAGACAGCAGCAAATGAAAACATAAATATAACTCAAATCCCTATAAACAAAAAAACCTAGCTCGTTTGAGCACTTACTAACATCAGGTTCCCTATCTCTCAGGGGTTAAACTAGAACAAATCAATATTGGTTTCAGCAACCTAGTGTCTTTGTCAGCTCTCTGCACTCCAATGCTTGGTCAGCCTGTTGCTTTCCTTTCTACACTCCCAGTGCTCCAAGCCAGCCTTAACTGCTTTCCTTTTTGCACTCCCAGTGCTCCAAGCCAGCCTTGACTGCTTCCTTCTGTGCTCCCAGTGCTCCAAGCCAGCCTTGACTGCTTTCCTTTTGCACTCCCAGTGCTCAGTCTCCTTGACTCTCTCACTGGAGAGAACAGCCTCTCTCCTACCTGCTTCCAGGGAGGAAGCCAGCAATCTCCCTTTACCTGCCTAGCAGGGAGGGGTTTATTCCCACTGTTGCAGCTGATTATCTGCAGCTGAGCAGTGGGTTGGAGACAGATCAAAACTCTGGCCTGGAACTTATTTCTCCCAGTTGTATGCAAACTGCGGAGTGGAGCATTGGCCCACCCTGGTCTCCAAATGCTCCACCCCACGGGCCCATAACTAAGCTTTGGTTTGTGTTGCCTACAACACATACTACACAAACTCCCCCTGGGGTTAAATGTTATAGGCCTCTTTGCCTTCACTTTATCACAACACACATACACACACACAATCACAGACCTATACACACAGTCATAAATCTATACACACACAATCACAGATACACACACACACACATAAAATCACAGACCTATATATATATATATACACATATACATACAAACACATAATCACAGAAACACACATAATCTCAGATACACACACACACAATCACAGACCCACACACAATCACAGACATATCCACAAACCCCCCACACACACGCAGCCAATCACTAACAAAAAGATACGCAAAAATCACATGCACACACATTTAATACTAAAGAGGTCCACCCAGCCTTCCTACCTTGCTCTGGGAGTGCTAGAATGGATCCTCTTTCCACAGTGGCCAGTGGTTGCTGCTGGGCTGGAGCCTCAGCCCTTTGTGCACAGCTGTGATCCGGGATGACATCATATCCCGGGGCCAGCTCACTGCCAGGCAGCGAGGAAGCTGTGCAGTAGGAGCACTGAATGTAACAGGCTCCCTGCCTCCTTCTCTGCCCAGCAGCACGGATGGCAACCGGGCCTCACTGCTAGTGGTCCCGGGCCGCAGGTTGGACACCCATGCTCTAGAGTAGTCTTAGGCAACCTTCGGCACTCGAGATATTGTGGACTACACCTCCCATGGTTCTTTGCCAGCATTATGGGTGTAAAAGCATTATGGGGGATGTAGTACACAACATCTGGAGTGCCGAAGGTTGCCTACCCCTGCTCTAGAGTCTAGACAATAATGCACCTTTGTAATAATGGTTTGAAAAAGTATTTTCCTGTTTCACCATAATAATGACCACAATGCACAATACAACGGCAATGCAAAATGATTTGTTGAGATTGTTGTAGAAACACTAGATTGGTCTGCATAGAGCCCAGATCTAAACTCTACTACACATCTTTGGGATGAGCTGATGTGCTAGCTGCACATCAAGCTAAACTGCTGAATAAAAGAGCCCATTCATTCTCTTGTGGCTGAATAGAAGCAAAACTATGCAGCAGCGTTCTAACATCTAGTGGAATGCCTTCTCAGAGGAGTAGAAACAATATTAATCCCAATGATTTTGACGTCAGCGGTTCAACAGTCAGAGGTATCCACATTCTTTTGGTCATGTATTGTATCTGTTACATGCCTTGTCTTGTGTGCTAAATGATCAGATTAGTGACTATTTTGTGTATTCCAGAGGATTCATTATTCTCCCTGGATTCTGACATAGAAACATCATGCTAGCCTCAAGCCAGTATGAGAAGGATCCTACAGAGCAATCAACCTATGTCATGCCATAAAACAGAACCTCTTACTGGCTGCAATACCTGTTTCAGTTGGTAGATGGCACTGGTTAAAATGCTGTTCATTTTCAGTTCTGGATTTGTTTCAAATTATCAACCACTCCCTCTGTCTTTTATAACTGTGTTAAGTAACATAGGCAGAACATTAACCCTCTAAGTGCCATGAAGATTTCATACATCTGGTGGAACTTGAATTAGTAAGTGCTGCCTTACATTTAAAACACAATTAATACAATTAGTTTGATATTACACTGTTGATATAATTTGTATTCTAGAGATGTTGGCCCATGAAACTAACAAATGAATTTAATTTTGTTAGTAATGTTGGTGGAACAGTTGTTGGCATAAAACAATTCAAGCAGTTTGTATCAATCCTAAAAGCAATTGCCATTACTAGTACAAAATAAACAAGAAAAAATAGATGAGTTGGAGTATTTTGAAATTTCACTGGACAAATCTCAAAGTAAGTAAATAAACGCCATAATGGGATTTATTAATCTATAAGGTTTATTCACTAAACAGCTTGTGGTTGCAAACTAAAAACTACATTGTAAAATTCACTCACAAATAACCAAGCTGTTACTTAGTTGAGTTGGAATTTTTTTTTAAATCAGCTATTTAAAAAAAACACAACCAGTACCATAAGCACTACAGCACACTGTAGTAGTTATAGTGCCATGTGTGCTTCCCCTAAAAAAAAACAACAATTTTTGACTTCTTACCTGGGGCTCGACTCAGCTAGTAACTACTAAACACTTAACTACCTTCTGAGCCGCTACCCCCTCTAAACTGTAGCACCTACACCCCCAATACAGATTCTATCTCCCTCTACAGTACAGCCCTTATCACTATCACCCCTACACTAAAGCCCTTATACCGCCCTACACTACAGTCTCAACCTCCTACTGTGCCTATCCCCCCACAAACACGCATGCCAGCCACTACTCTCCGTACACTACAGCACCTATCTCACCACACTACAGCCTTCATTGCTCACTCACACACAATACAGCCCCTATCCACTGCAAACACACAAGGTATGGTCTCTATCTCCTACACACTATACAGACTATCCTGTCACATGAACACTCACTACTGTCACTGTTTACCCCTTCACGCACTACAGCCTCTATTTACCATCACACACACTTCAGCAACTGTCCACACACAGACCCATCCACACACATGCAATACACCACCAACAACTCAGTCCCACAAGCAGTGTTCCCACACACATGCAACCCCGCAAGCAGTGTCCTTACAATCAAGCAACCCCACAAGCAGCCTCCCCTCACACAACACCACAGTTTTCCACCACACATTGCGTCACCACAAACATGCAATACCACAAGCAGTGTCCATCCACACATGTGTCCTTACAGACAGGCAACACCACAAGCAGTTTTCTTACAAGCACACAATACTACAAGCAGCTAACCCTGAAAATGAAGCACCACAAACAACACTCTCTCCCAGCAGTGTCTCTTTTGTCTTCTGTATCCCCTTTATGGGGACACTGAAGACAGGAAACCAGACAAGAGACATCATAAACTTTGCTTGCGCTATGCTGAACACAGGGGGTAGTCACCAGGGCTTTGTGCATGGGCTCTCTGGGAAAGGCACTGAATTGAGTAAGTAGCCAAACTGCAATAGCCAACTATAATATTTTCAGTTTGGCCTTAAATTTTAAAGTCAGTATCAATTCCTGACAATTCTCACTTTAGCGTATAACGCAGTGAAAAGTGAATTGTGGTGAATTTACAAGGGAATGCAAAAAAGGCCAAAATAGCCAAACTAGAAATTCCGTGCAAATAAATGATTTGACCTGGCACCTCATGACCTTGCTGTGCCCCTGCTTGTGAATTGCTAATGAAACGCAAAATTATTTTTTTTTAGAAAATAAACTATATTCGCATCTCGACTAGATTAGTTAGAACTTTGCTCTGTAAAAAAAATCACAACAAATTGGAGTGTTTTCCTAATATGACTATATTGGCCTAAAAATTGTCAGTTACATTGTGAATTCTAGATAACTTGTTAGTGAATAACCCTGCTATTGGGAGTGTGTCTCATATTACATGATATTACAATAACACATTATTACAAACCAAAGTTGAAAGAATATGACAGTTTTCTTCAAAAGTCCTCCAGGATCTGTTAGTAAAAACAAACTAATTGCCATGTAATAAAAGTGAGTACAAACTCTTAGATTGCATTGCCATCTCCCATTATATCATAGTGAAGATTACAATAATGTTCTTACCTTGTTGACAGGCAGATAGTAAGGAAACCACTGCAAGAATCACACTGTGGTCAGCCATGTTATCAGGATCCTGTAAATGTACGAGGAAGTGGTTAAACAACTTAACATTACAAAGTCCGTCCTCATTCAGAGACACACCTACCCTGCTCAGACATAGCTGCTTTTATCTTACCTGGGCAACCTGTATGGTCACAGTAGACCTAAAATTCCGCTGACTCACTCTTCATGTTAGGCTGACAATGGAAATCTAGTAATTGTGTGAAGATAGCCAGGTCTTCATTAGCCATGCCCATACAAGCAGTACAACACAAAAAGAGTAGCAATGAGTAATACAAAAAGTAATGTATATTCCTATATGAACTTATGTGTCACTACCCTGGATGCCATATTCCTGTAAATCATTTTTATAAGCTCTTCCTCTGTCATTGAATGTACTATATAGAGGTGGAGAAACTTAAGCAATGGGGCAGATTTATCAAAGTGTTACAGACAGTTTGGTGCCACTTTTTAAAAAAAAAATGTTCCTCTTTTTTTTCTTGCAATTTATTAACTCTGTTGCATTTTCTTCATTTGTTGTTTCTTTTTTTTACCCTATCATTTTTTAATGTATGCCATTTTATTCTCAACTGCTCTATTGAGCTTTCTACCAGTTCTCTATCTTCTGTCACTTCAAGTGTAGCAGTCTTTTCTGAAATGGATAATTCAGCATAACATGGCAGACTAAATCAGACAATTTTTAGACAATTTAAAAAAAAAATCTGTATTTTGGTTGCAGAAGAGCGATCACAGACTATCACAAAATGAATACAGTAGTACATTTGTTCAATTATTTTAGTATTCATTTCACAATCCCTCACAGTGTGGTAATAAGGTTTTATATTCAAAACAACGTACATAAAAATCACAAAAAATAAATAAAACATATTAAAATTAAGGATACACGGAGAAGGGAATGTAATTGTCACAGCACAGCTGGGGCCGGCTGGTGCGCTGCGCTCACTCACCAGACGCCACATTGATTTTGGCTTCCTGGGAGTGGGGGATGCACCAAGATTTCCTCAAGGCCACCAGTTTATACTGCAGCACTCTCTCCTCGCCCATCAGCCCCTGCAGTCATTACATGTGGGTTGCGACATGCAGAGGAAGGAAGGCACACCCTGTCTGCCTTTATGCTTACCTCTCCTCCTGTGGGCATGTTGGGTAATGTGTTGTGTGTTCCCCATGCTGCTACAGGATCTCCTCAGGGGGACAAAGCCCTGGGGAATCCAGCTCAGCAAGCATGGAGGTTTGCAAGTAAAATTAACAAACTGATATAGCATCCTGCCTACATAGGGAGGTGTTGAAACCTACTCACCCAGAGGAACCTTCTAAATATATATAGGATCCGCCCCGGGTGCCAAATGCTCCAGGTATGCCCCTGATGCCAGCAACCCTGTTCCAGCCTGGGTTAATGCCAGCAACACTGCTACAACTTTAATCAAGCCTTTAATCATTTGTCCAGTGCTGAAACTCTTTTACTTTAAACTCTGAAACTTTATTTTATCTTAAGGACTTTTGTTTCCTATGAAGATATTGCCTTATTTCTCGCTTCTATTTTGCATTTGGACTTTTTCATTATACTTATTTGCTTTATAATTATTATTAATATTAGTATTTATAAAGTGCATCAAGTTCCGTAGCGCTGTACAATGGGTGGACTAACAGACATGTATTTGTAACCAGGCAAGTTGGATGCACAAGAACAGAAGGATTGAGTGCCCTGCTCAATGAGCTTACATGCTAGAGGGAGTGGGGTATAGTGACACAAAAGGTAAGGGTAGGGTAGAAAAGTAGGTTGCAAAGATAGTATTAATTGATGGCTTAGTAATTTGTTTTGATGACTGTTTCAGGAGAGGAATCAGGGTACAGGGAGGGAAAGCTGTTCACAGTTTAATTGATATGCTTTCCTAAAGAAGTAGGTTTTCAAAGATTTTTTGAAGGAGTGGAGATGGGGTGAAAGTCTAACAGAGCGGGGAAGGTCGTTCCATAGGAACATCAGAGGTAGGAGTACGAACAGAGGTTAGACATAGATCTCCAGCAGAGCTTTAGAGGCTAGATGGGACATATTTGTGTATTAGTGAGGATAAGTAGGTTGGAGCAGCATTGTGTTGAAATTTGTAAGCAAATATCAGGATCTTAAATTGAGTCCTATATCTTATGGGAAGCCAATGTAGGCACTGACAAAGGGGGAGGTGTGGGAGGTGCTGGCAGACAGGAAGATGAGCCTCACCACCGCATTATTATAGACTGTAACGGGGCAAGTTGGGAACACATAAGACCACCGAGAAGCGGATTACAGCAGTCAAGGCGAGAGATGACAGCGGCATGGACAAGCACCTTTGCAGTATCAGGTGTTAAATAGGGTCGGATGCGCGCAATGTTTTTGTGATAGAAGTGTCAGGATTTGGCGATTGATTGGACATGAGGGGTGAAGAAAAGGTTGTAGTCAAAGAGAACACCTAGGCAGCGAGCCTGAGAGGTAGAGCGGATGGTAGCGCCATTGACTTGGAGGGACACAGACAAGGGAGTAGCAACACTTGAGGGAGGGAAGACCAGAAGTTCTGTTTTGGACATGTTTAATTTAAGGAAATGAGCAGCAATCCAGTTGGAAATAGCAAAGAGTTAGTCAGAGGGTGCGAAATCAGGGAAGGACAGATAAATTTGCGTGTCATCCGCATAGAAATGATACTGGAAGTCGAAGGAGCTGATGACATGTTTAGTTTAAGGAAATGAGCAGCCATCCAGTTGGAAATAGCAAAGACTTAGTCAGAGGGTGCGAAATCAGGGAAGGACAGATACATTTGCGTGTCATCCGCATAGAAATGATACTGGAAGTCGAAGGAGCTGATGAGTTAACCAAGGGATGAAGTGTCAATTGAGAATAATAAGGGACCAAGCACAGACCCTCGGGGAACACCAACAGACAAGAATTGGGGAGAAGAGGCAGAGTCAGAGAAATAAACATTGAATAAGTGCTGGGAGAGGTAGGATGAGCACCAGGAGAGAGCGGTATCTTGTAGACCGAGATTATACCTAGTCTTCAATCATTTAAGAAGTGCCTTAAAACTGATCTCTTTAGGAAAGCTTATGGCCTCCAAGAGTAACCTCTACCTTACATACCTGTCTCTTGCTCTCTCCTAAAAGGCAGCACTCTACTCTCTCCTCCAGCTCTGCTTCACTCCCACCTTATTTGATTGCTATTTCCTGTCCTAATGTGTTTTATACCCCACCTCCTATAGACTGTAAGCTCATTTGAGCAGGGCTCTCTTCAACCTATCGTTCCTGTAAGTTTTCTTGTAATTGTCCTATTTATAGTTAAATCGCCTCTCTCATAATGTTGTAAAGCGCTACGGAATCTGTTGGCGCTATATAAATGACGATAATAATAATAATGAGAAGAAGCTGTTGATGATCAACAGTATCAAAAGCAGCAGAAAGGTCGCGGAGAATTAAGATAGTGTAGTGATTTAGCAGTGATAAAATAATTGTATACTTTGGTCACAGCTGTTTCAACAGAGTGACGAGTGCAGACTGAAGCGGGTCAAGTCTGTCAATTTCGCATACACAACTCTCTCAAGGATAGGGCAGTAGTTGGACCAGGAATTAAGGTCGAGGTTGGGCTTTTTAAGAATTGGGTCTATGGTTGCATGTTTGAAGGTTAGAGGAAATGTGCCAGAGGAGAGGGAGAGATTGAAAATTTTAGTGAGAGGCAAAGTGCGGATGAGATATGAGGGTTATAGGATCGAGGGAACAGGTGGTTGGGCATGAGAAACCGAGCAGAGCAGAAACCTCTTCTACTGTAGCGGGTGCAAATTAGAGATGTCGCGAACCAGCTTCAACATGGATGCTGGCCAGGAGGTGGGAGGGTCTGGGAGGGAGGGTCTGCTGGAGATTGGCCTGGATGTGTCAGCTGACTGGAGCTTGCCGCGAACGGTTCGTGGCGAACCGCGGCGAGCCGTTCGCGGGAAGTTCACGGACGGTTCGCGACATCACTAGTGCAAATGAGCATAGGACAGCTGACGAAGTGTGGTTAGGGAAAAAGGTGGTAGTGGATCGAGAGAGATGAGAGATCTCTTCCCTGATTGTAGAAATTTTCTCAGTGAAGTGAGTTGCAAAGTTTATGGCGGTCAAGTTGGTAGAAGGAGGAGGCACGACAGGGCGAAGAAGAGAGTTAAAAGCATGAAACAGTAATTTGGGCTCGCGGGAGAGTGTGGTTATAGTGTATTGAAGTAGTTTTGAAGAGGAAAGAGCCAGACTGTAGGAGCACAGCATAAATTTATAGTGGAGGAAGTCAGACGCAGAGTGAGACTTTCTCCAGCAGCGATCAGGAGTTCTGGAACATTTTTGGTGGTATTGAGTAAGCTTTGTGTGCCAGGGTTGTCATTGGGGGTGCTTAGTACGTATAAGTGTAGGAGGTGCCATGATGTCTAGTTGAGAGGAGAGATTGGAGTTGTAGAGGGAGGTTGCAGTGTTAGGGCAAGTGAGATTAGAGATGGGTGAAAGGAGACTTTGAAGGTTGGTGGAGAATTGCTGTAGGTCAAGACAATGGAGGTTTCTGCAAGACTGATGGGGTGAGGGTGGTGTACTTTTGGTACGGGGTATGCGGATGTCAATGGACAACAGATAAAGGAAATGGAACATTGGAGAGTTTAGAGGTGGTACAGAGATTGGTGAAGATGAGGTCAAGAGTGTTTCCTGCTCTATGAGTTGATGAATTAGACCACTGTGTGAGTTCAACAGCTACCCCATTTCCTCTTCTCTAGCACTCCTTCCCTCATTCTTGGAGACTTTACTAATCCAGTTAGTGTTGTTGATTGGAGGGAAGGAGTGCTAGAGGAGAGGAAATGGGTTAGCCAGGAAGAAACGTGTTCAATGAATAGCCTAGGATGACTGGGGGGTGAGGGTGGGGGAAGGAGGAGGGGCGATAAATTATGGCAATTCTTAGAGGAGTGGGTTTAAATAGACAAGCATAAGAAAGCAGGAGTAGCAGTATCAGAGGGGGACAGCCAGGTCTCAGTGAGTGCAAGAAATGTGAAAGAATTTGAGATGAAGAGGTTGTGTATGGCTGTTGATTTTATATTGCTGCAGATGGAGCGGGCGTTCCAGAGTGCACACTGAATATTGGTAGATGGGGATAGAAAGCAATGTAATAAAGACCTTAAATTTAAAAACTGTGTCTGTCTGTCCAAATCTCTGCATACTGAGTCCAATCACCCCAAACAGGTAACAGGGATGGGGTGAAGGAG